AACAATAAAAAAAGGCCAGAGCTGCTGAGATCCATTAGAAAGTGGAGTTTGAAGGAAATTATATATCTCAGTCGCTGGGCCGAGTCGTGAAAAGTGATTTGCATAAAATTACCTGCCCTCAGGGGGTGCTGTAAATTTTCGAGGTGAGTTGTGTGTGTTTTTTATATCTCTCTAGATATTTCTGCGAGACAAAGCGCTACTCGAAAGAGTGGATAATTATAGACTCGGCCGGTTGGCTTCGCGGTGGTAAATAAGAAAATGAGATCACTCACTTTACAGATCATTTTGAACGCTTCTCAACAACTATGAATTCGAAGAAATGTGTTTGTTTGCTCTAGATTTGCCACGGCGCGCAGTGTTGACTTGAATCTTTAATTGCCAAACTCAAAGTCTGCGCGCAAATTTGGTAGCGATTCTAGATCCCCTTTGACTCTTTGACATTTGAAACACCGAGGGCACACACGTGTCAGACCTCATCCGTCCTAAATGTTTATAAATTTAGTTTTGTGTGTCAAACACAAGTGCTCTAATTCCGCTGCTCTATACAAATAAATCGCGTTGATTGCAGACAAAGTTTTAAAAATACTCTTTTAAAATGAGTCCTGAATCCTTAGAACTATTTTTCAACTAGTAGTTTTTCAAAAACATCCAGTTAGGAAAATTTGTAAAATGTTTTGAGAAAACAATAACAATGCTTCTCAAATCTTAGAAGATGAATAACTTAAATTGCCAAAGTTAAAGACAGTATTAAAAATTTATTTCAGATTTTGCATAAACAGGAAAAATCAAGTATGTAACTAAAAAATAAGTAATACATTGGCAGAAAAACATCATTTAATTAATAATCTTATGCGATGGACTTTAAACTTTAAAATAACTATCACATGCAATATGTAATAAATTTAGGAGGCGTTGAACTCAATAGCATACGTCATAGTATGCAAGATTATATAACAACATTCGAGCGACAAAACACACGGAAAGTTCTTTTTGATTCGAGTGAGCCCACTTCTTCGAAGCACTTAAATTTGGCCTCAAGCCAAAGTTTGCTTTCCGAAAAACAAAATTCCTAGCACAAGTTACCGAGCCTGTATGGAATTTACCATTTTTTATTACTTTAATAATTTTTAATGAAAAATTATAAAAATAGACCGACTCAACCGTCTTTGATGGCAAAGTCAAGTTGAAGGATCTCTGACTTCGAAATTTGGCACAAACAACCAGGAAATGCTTGCTTTGGTCAATATCGCTTGAGCTGAGCTTCTTCCCAAAATAGATTCGCTCACCTTGAGTATATAGTTACGCGGAAACGCGCATTTTTGATCAAAATTATCGCAGCGGTGGAAAGTGCAAGTTTTAATTAATCGTGAGAGATGAGGAATAGCCTTTTAATTGGCGCCGCGTGCATTATTCATGTCCGCGCCGCATTCCAAGTTAGCTCGACACAACCTTGGCTCCTTCCTGAATGCATCTTGGACAAAAGAACCGCTGGTGCACTCGAGATGTGAACAAAGAAAGAAGCCTTATTCAGCGAAAGTCTCCCGTTTTTTTCGTCCCATCGATTTTGAGATATTCATCGCGATCGACACGGTGTGCGAAAAATAGCACCGCCGCTCTCCCAGTGCTTGTTGACTTGTTTTCGACCAAGTTAGTATATAATGCTGTGCAAAACATTTCCAACTTGTTTTCGCAAGCTATTATTGAATGACTCGTCGTGTGTGCTTTCTCACTGGTAAACAGCGAGCCTCGGCACCAAATTTCGAGCTACCCCGGCCAGGTCGGTCAGCCGGGCCACAGCGTGTTTGCAGAATTGGTTGAAATGATATACGAACTGACAGTGAGCGAGGCAAACATGCTCTGAAATCTCTCGAGTAGTCGGCCGAGCACTCACATGACTCATTCAAAAGAAAAGAAATTAGAACGGACACTATTTTATTAAACTATCTAGCTTCCAATTATTTTAAATTAAATAGAAGGAAATAAAAGATGAGATCTTTGAATTTAAAGTCGACTTTTCCTTGTGGAGGGCTATTTATTGTCATTTAGTTGTTCCGTAGAAAAACAATTTCCTGCTATTTCTACAGAATAAATTAACAACTCAAAAACCCCATTGAGGAAAGGTCAACTTTAAATTCAAACTTTGTGAATCATTCCTCAATCAGTGAAATTTTTCTTCTACTGTTTAAATGAGGAAAATCTGCAACATTTTCTTAATTTAGTCCAAGTTAATCTTTAAAAATTTAATTAAATTAGGTCTTTTGCATAGACATCTTCATGGGCCTGTTGTTAATTAAGTTAAATTATGTTACTGGATTCATCAACTACTTTTCTTGAATTTAATATAATTTTCAAGATCATATAAATTTTGCAATGCTCATTTAAAACACCTCTCTCTCTCTTTAATAATATCCCCTGGATCGTGTGTTCTTTGGATGTATCTGCGTCATCCAATTATAATGACAAATTAAATTATGAACAGCTTTGTAAGTCGTGAACGCAGTCAGGTTTGAAGGTCTTGTCAACGTTTGTTTGTGCATATGGAACAGTGTATTATTAGCAATCGCGTAACGGACGCAAATAAAAAGCCAAAGTGCAATTTAAAAGGATCAGGTACGTTTCAATCCGGTCTGTAATGAATACCTTTCACTCAAGCTAAGTGCTGAAATTAAGCAACAATTTTATTCTGGCTTTTAATTCAATTACGAGAGGAAATCAATGCTCAGCAGCTGATTAGTATTTTTCTGTTGTTGACTTCATATATAGGCGGGTGATGATAAATTATTATATAAAGCGTGCTTGCATAATATTGACACTGACACAATACTGTGGAGTTTATGTACATTTCTTCACGCATTTCAATCAGATAATAAATTGAATCGTGGGATGTGCTTGGTATGACTGCAATGTTTGTTTAGTAAATTAATTATTCTTTGCAACGACACGTTTGAATTCGTGACTGCATAATTAAAATGAGAAATAATTACTTATTTCAATTAATTATTGTAAAATCATAAAAAGTCATTAATTAAAATTTAGAATTGAGTAATGCTTGAAAAATATCTTGAAAAGAGGAGTAGCAGATAAAACAGAGTGATATAAAAAATTTCACACTGCAGTCCAAACTAGTGAGATACGAAAAATAGTTTTCAAAGATTTGTAATTTTCAATTTCATATTGGATAAAAAATGTTAAATTTGATCTACATTATTTGTGTTGACACATTATTTTAATTTTACTTGAAACGGTGTTTTTGTTTTCATTTCTACCATTACTTCTGCTACTGTCTTGGTTGCCAAGTTCCACAAACCTGTTTTTATTTAAAATATACAACTGCTGTTGAAAACTAAGCGGGGCGGTCAAGATTACAATAGTATGTATATAAAAATTAACTCCTCTTAACCTTGCGAATTAAAATAATGAGCGTAAGACGGGACAGGTGAGCGAATCAAAGAGAACAAGCAGAGCAGAACAGCCGCGACAAAAGGGGCAAAACCGTGCGCGAATGTCATCTTTGACGACAATCTCCTTTGACGAAATTCGGTCAGGGCCGATCAAGGAGGAAAGGGGTTGCTTTTACGCACACCTTCATCTTTTGGCGCACTGCGAACTAATTAAAATTTCTCCTTGAGGAACCTTTGAAGAAGCGAAGATGACACATGGCGACGCATGGGGAAATAGGGTCGCTGGGTCGGGTTTATGTGCCCTAAATTTAACAACGAATGTGGAACAAAAGCACTTCTAGGATAAAGAGCCACACAAAAGAAGCCGAACTTCTGAAATAGTATCAACTTTTACTTGGGATTGAAAATATTTAAAGGGAAAAAATACAGTTTATTTTGATTTTTTATCATTTAAAAAAAAACCGACTAAATGAGGAAAACATATAAAATTTTCCAATTATCTGACAAGTTCTTTTCGTTAGTTTGTACAGCCTAGATGAATTTTAATGAAAGTGAATTATTAATAATAACTATGTTCAGCATTTTGGACCACTATTCCAATTAATTACATCTTATAGCTCCTGGCCATTTTTTACACAACGTAATTAGACTCTTTTGCAAGACCTACTTGAATGAAAAAAACCCACCTGTTTCCATTTTTAAAGAGCATACCTTTTATTTTCAACGAAAAAGGAGATTTAAAAAAAATTTGCATTGAATTTTAAGAGTTCACAAATTTTTTTCCGCTTCCTTCTTCCTTATTAAACCCGAAGCGTCAACACTAACGAAGCAGTGTAAGAAATTTCCTCTCATCGATTTAAATTGCTGTACCGCTGTCTTTTTATTCAGGCTGGTGGCTGCTTGTGTATGTAATTGCTGCACTTGACGTAGCTGCTGCTAAATAATCATGTAGAAACGTTGCGCGTGCATTGCATTATCATTCAGGCGTGCCGAGCGAGCGAGAGTGTCGTTTATTCGCTGCTCGATTGGGGGCAAGCAATTAAATTGGATCAGTTGCAGCCAACTCTCATCAACGGAGAGACTCTTGTTTGGAATGACAAACGACTTACTTTGCCAGACGTTATGGAAATAAAAACACGGCTTAGGAGAAAACTCGCATATCTTTTTTTTCTTCAAAATTTAAATTATCTAATTTTTTTTCAGATAAATAAAAATATTGCAAATAATTTTTCCTAGTAAGGATATATTTCTTCATTCGACCTCATATCTGAAACTGTTATCGAAATAAGGTTATCAAAAAAAGAACCTTTAATTCAAGGAAAAGCTCTTTCGAAAAATAATCCCATCCGACCTATTTGTTGGCGCCAACTGGTCTCTCACAATCGCCGCGACCACAAAAAGGGATGTGTGACTAATCAAGAAAGCTTTAAGCATGAATAATATATACGCTGAGTAATTTGCTTTGCAACTTTGAATTTCGTTTAAAACCTAAACACTTAGTGATGAAACTTATCAAAAACGCTATTTTTTCGCCTGGGTGCGACTGCCAAAAATAAATTAATTAAAACCGCTAATTTTGGCTCTCTTTTCTGATTGCAGATCAAAGGTCACTATCTCCCAGTACCGACGCTTCAGACATGGAGGACGGAGTAGAGATTTTGGTTCCGAGCGCCAGTGACGTCGTCTACAAATACACGTGGAACATCAAAAAATTTGGCCAGAGCTGCCGCAAGCGACACAGTCCTGTTTTTGACAGCGAGGCCTTCGAGTTGAATGTCAACGGCCTGCGAACCCGCTGGAACCTCAGCATTCGTTTCTGGACCGGAATGGACGGGTCGCGCCTCATGAGCCCAGTAGTAGCATGCCTAAATTTGCTAAGGTAAAATTATTGATTAAAAATTAAAATTATGTATGTGATGAGAAGTTTATTATTCACTAATTTCACTTTTTATGAAACAATCAAAAACAAAAATTTTTAATCAAATTTCATTACGTTATTATCTTACATCAAGTCAAAAACAATGATTTAATTTAATTTTTAATTTGTAAAACAATTGATTGTTATAATTTAATAAATAATTTTATTTTCATATTAAAAATTGAAATTTTTTAATTAATCGCTAAATAGAAAATGTTACCCAGAAATTAAATTAATTTTTCATTGTATTTTTTTTTTGTCCAGGTGTTGGCCAGAAGATTTACCAGGTACACAGGCCACTGTCCGCTTCCAATTCGGCGTCCTCTGCCGGCAGAACGGACGGTACGAAATGACACCTCTAGCGAGAAGCATAGTGTCTTTGGGGGCCACCAAAAATATCGTCTCTGTTGGACACCAGGATGTGGAAATCGTTGAAAAACACATGTTGTCCCACTCAGGGGACATCCGTCTAGTCTGCAAAGTCCAGGTATTTTTTTTTTTTTTTTTATCTTGAATTTCAACACTTTCTTCATCCGTCTCTACAAATTAAATGACCAGTATGGTGTTGTGCAAACTTTGATAAGCCAAACAAACAATCTCGTTACAAAAAGGCTCAAAATAAATGATTATTTCAAAGGCTTGAAGAGGTAAACATTCATTGAGAGCGAGAGAAATAAAAAGATCTGAATTCTTTCACAAGATTTTTCATCAGCGCGCGCGCGATATGTAACAAACTCTCACATTTATTACGAAGGTGAAAATTCAATGTCGCGCCGACCACGGCCTTGACCATCACTGGTGTGCACTGAAAACTGCGCCAAATCGATAAACCTTTATTCCAAATGTACTACCAGCAACGGCGTAGAGAGTTCATATGTTGATTATAAATATACGACGGGGACTGTTTCTCTTGTATTGAAAGCTGCAAAATAATGAGAATGCTTAATTGCAACCACCTTGCGCAACCTTGGGAAATTTCCTTTGCGAGAGTGTTGATGTTTTGACTCGATCCCAAAATAAAAGAAGTATCAATATTTGAGATGAGAAGCCGTATATCAAGAGAAAGGGCGGCGAAAGATCTTTTGTTGTCAAAATATAACTCGGCAAGTTTTCATAACACAGCGCCATGTCACCTTGTATAATCTTGATTCTCTTTTTGATTACTCCACGACTGATACACAATAACAAAGTGCACTCCTATTTATAATTATAATCAATTTTGTCAGCTGAAATTTTGAGATTGGTAGAAATTTAGAGAAAGGAGAAAATTTCTCTTGTTTTATAAGTTTTGCTATTATTTTCATCTACAATTTATTACAAATAATGTCTGGAATTTTTTTAAACTATATATTGAGATTTTGATCCATTTTGAAATATTTTTTTCAAGAATTTTAATTTTTTTTTGACAATAGTACAGTACACATTACTTTGTAGAAACTTCAAGCAAATAAATTGTTTTTTTTTTATATATTTAAATAAGTTCCTTGTCATTTTAAAATTCTGTGCCGTCATTAATTAACAAAAAATTAATTGAAACTTATTTCAATTTACACGATTTTGAAACAAAGGACTAGCCAAAAAATGAAAAATAGCCGATTGAGACTCTTTGGAATCACATTTACTTTACCTGGAACATTTTAACCTGTGATTTCAGCTTTTTTTAATAAAATAAAGATAATTTTTGTCATAAGCAGTTAGTTTTTACATTGATGTATCTAATTGTCTCTAATCAGAAATTAAAATTTTGCTCTTTTTTTGTCTATTATATTATGTTTATAAAAATTAAAAAAAAATACATATATAAACCATTTAAAATTCCAATAAAAACTCTAAATTTGTCTCTTCAATTTCCAGGTTGTCCCAACGGGCAGTGATGACGAGCAGCACAGCCTCTCCCAAGACATGGGTTCCTTGTTGTGCAGCTCAGACGACGACCTGGCCCCCTCAGAACTGCCGTGGGCCAAAGGTGACGTCAAACTGCGCGCTGCCGGCGGCGCCCTTTTCCCAGCGCACTGCTGCATCCTTGGCGCGCGTTCGCCCCGCCTTGCTGGAATGATTTCAGACATTGATGAAAAATTAGAAACCACCCCTACTCTCGAGTTGAGCGACCTGACCGCCGAAAACCTGCAGGAGATCCTCAGGTACATCTACACCGGCCGAGTGGAGAACCTGGACTCGGTGGCCGCCTCTCTTCTGGGGGCCGCCTACAAATACGAGTTGCCAGGGTTGACCACCCTGTGCGAGAGGTCCCTGCTGGAAACTTTGGACGCCGAAAGTGTAGCCGCTAGGTTGCTTCTGGCTGATGAATTTGGCTGCGACGCCTTGAAGAGAGGCGCCCTGGCCTTTGTAGAAGGTCACGCAGGGCGGATGCCAAAAAACATGGCCTGGTCTGTGATGGAGATGGTCCGTCCTGAGCTCTTCCAGGAGGCCATTGAGGCTGGCATTGGGGACTCGGCGTCCAGCTTTGCCAGTTCCCTCAGTGAGGCCGGAAGCAACTCGCGCTGATTTCACTGCAAAACTTATACCAGAAACTGATTGTTAACAATAATATGGGAATTATCATTGTGATCAGAATTGAAGCAATTTGATAAAAAAAAATTCAAAATATTTTTTTTAGATTAGACAAGTTATTTACTTGCTTATTTTGGACGAATTTGCTTGAGCTAGACAAATTTATTGAAAAGTGGCAAAGCTATTTATTTTGTAATAAAATGGAAAATTGTATTGCTTTGGCATGTAATGAACTTTTTGAACTGACGGTGAATTAAAAATATAAGCAGCACTCACAGAACACTAGTTGCATTTCTTTAGAGAATTGACAGCCAAAATATATATGTTACAAATTTAATGTCAAGTATTTTATGAATATAAAATGTAATTATATAGACCATTGCTTTATGTTATCAACACAAAGTATAAACTATTAACTTTTCTCTCTCGTCTCCTACTATAGCCGCAAGCTTGTTATCATCACAAATATCAATGTGGTTGAAAAGCGCAAGAGATTTTTTGTCTAAAGAAAACTACAAAATGAAAGCTCTCAGCATTTAATGAAATAAATTTGCTTATTTTTAAATTTCCATTTTGTTACCTGTATTTATAATTTAATAATTAATTTCCAATTTATTCTTCGCCAAACTTTACTTACAAGAAGTGTCATATCAAACTGGAGAAATTATTTATCATTTACAACAAAAATTTAACAAATCATGAATGTTAGTGTTATTTGGAAAAATATTGAGTGCATGTGGAATATCACTGGAAAATTTTAAGATGTATGGGCAAAAAGTAGTGTTTAGGAGAGAAGTCTGAGGATGTAAGGTTTACAACAAGTCATTACTGTATACATGTCTAATAAATAATAAAAGAGGTGGTGCACAGAAGATAAACAACCTATTTTTTCTTGATCAAAATTGGCCCTCTTAAGAAAATATATTAAGAACTTTCTTGTACACATTCTAAACAATAATACAACAATAAATCAAGGCAGATCCCATGTTTACAACCTAAATCCAAACCGAAGGGATTTTCTGTTTCTAAATTTTTATTTATTTTACTTTTCATAATTTTTAACATAAAAAATACCTGTTAGATTTAAGAGAAGATGTTGTGTAGCATGAGCAAAAAAATGATCCATTGAATTTAAGTTTTGGGACCTGCATCTCACGTGGTGACCATGCACATCACAAAAGGTTCCTTGGCGTTGGACTCGCTCAGACTCAATGATCAGAAGGCTGGTCAAACATCTTGATATTGATTTTGTAGCGCTAAAAATGAGTTTAAAGATAAGAATTCAGAAATTTACAAAATACCAACAATCTACAATCTGAATGTTCCAAACTTACCCAAACCCAATAGTTTTTGCACATGAAACCATGACTTGGTCTCTAAGAGAGAATTTGCATCTGGGGGACACATTAAAATCGACGTCATTGAACTTTGTGCATTTTGTTTTTGTGGTCTGTCAAGACAAACAAACCAAGGGCGCTGTCGCGGAAGGCTTTCTGCCAGTCTCCACTCTCTCTCCAGGTTTCAATTATTAAGTCATGTCCTCATAACCTTGTGAGTGTGTTCAGTCTGGGGGTTCATGCGGTGGTTACCCACAGTAACCTAAAATGTATAATATTTTTTTACCAAAGAGTATAAATTAAAATTTGATTCATAAATTTTTATTTTCAGATTCTTGTTGTTAATAAATAACTTTTGCAAAAGGTGATGCCTTTTTCCAATATAAATCTAAAATTTCAGATTTTCATCAAACTTCCAGGGAAACTGACGAGGGTTAGAATTCCCCAAAAACAGTATTGCCCATTGCAGGTTGCAGCAGGTGCCATTTTTTAGTTTCGGTAAGACTGGTTGTAAATACTGTTTTGCACAAATCAAATTCCACCCATTGGGCGGGCGGCGTCATCGCATATTTTCTCGGCGCAGAGGAAGAAGCTCCTTTAGAAGTCTTCCATAATGGTACATTCCCGGAATTTTCTTTAATTTTGAAATTCCCTTTTCCTTCAATCATTAATGAAAACTTTATATCAAATAAAATAATTCATATAGTCTGTATTTGGCTATTTTTATCAATTATTTCTTTAAAATGAGTTTTCCAGATTACTTTTTATGCCAACTAAAGTTTAACTAATTTAAATTTATATTAAATAAATTTAATTCCCAATTACCTTGGCATAAGATTAAAGAAGTTCCTGCCGACAAGCTGCAGAGGACATTGAAGAACTGGATGTACTCTTAGTCACCTCAATTCTTTTACACATGCTGGTCCCAGGGTGATGGTAATGATAATTTCAGTTCCGACATTGTTAAGCGCTTCGCATCTGGTAAGCCTGCAATGCAATTTTTGTTTGTTGATCAAATATCCAGCTTTTGCAACTATTTACACAGAACCTTGGCAGAGTACCTCCTGGCAGAGGACAGAGAAGAGGATCAAGCCGTCAAAGAGAAAGCCTTCAAGATCTTCAGAATGCTCGTAAACAGAGTTTTCTTCTCTTAAGGTCCATCATCCTTGAGTACGCGTGAGAAGTCTATGTGGTGCTGGTAATGAGTGCGCAAAATCTGCACAGTTTGAAGTAGTTGAATATCCTTCAGGCTGATGGGATGAAAAGCAGAGGAAAATATATTAAAATTTAAGAATAATTTGCAGCAACAGAATGGTCCCGAAATTTATAAAGTTTCATGAATAACAAAACATTCTGGCTAAAAAATCAAATGGGTAACCTCTCTACTGTGGGGCCGCCTACAAGTTAAAGTTGCCAGGGTTGACTAACCAGTGCAACAAGTCCCTGCTGGAACCCTGGACGCTGAAAGTGTGGCCACGAGGTTGCATTTGGCTGATGAATTTGGCAGCGACACCCTGAAGAGATCGAGACGCCCTGGTCTTTTTCGAAGGTCACGCAGGGCAAATGCCGAAAAACATGGTCTGGTCTGGGTTAGAGATGGTCCATCCTGAGCTCTTCCGGGAGGCCATCCAGGCCGGCATTGGGGACTCGGCGTCCAGCTTTGCTAGTTCCCTCAGCGAGGCCGGAAGCAAGTTGCGCTGAATTCGCTGCAAAACTCAAATATCAGAAACTGATTGTTGATAAATATGGGAATTATCATTGTGATCGGGATTTAAGCAAGTTGAGAAAAACTTTCAAAATATTTTATTTAGTTTCTAGGTATTATTTACATGCATTTTGTAATTTGTGGAAGAAATTGGGATCTGTTTTCCACAATTGTTTATGGTGAGAATTTCAACTTCACCATAATTCAAAGTGGAGTACCTGAATGCTGTGAGGTCAAATATGGTGATGGACACTAAAATTACGGTAGTGCTGGACATGCTCAAGTTTACTCTTTATAAGTATTATGTTGCCTCTGAAGAGAGAATCGAATCAACGTTCTTGGTCAGAGACCTCTCGGGGTTAATCTGCTCTATAAAGTCAAGAGGTGGTCTTCTGTTCAACTCTCTTGGGCAGAGGGAACTTGATCTTTACTGTAGTGGAACTGCTTGACCTAAATGAAAAAGAAATTTTAAATAATCTTTTAGTACGCTATGTCAATAATAAATTAATAATACATAAGGATGAAATTATACACATTATTCTGCCCTTGAATTTCCAAAGCTATATATTATGGTGCAGGATTTATCAATCCATACTCAACTTTTGGCCAAAATACCGTCAATTCAATCTACAAAACTAAAAAAATTGGCACCTAAAAATTATGCTGGGTCTGCAACAAAAACTTTGAACTCAGTAGCCAGAAGAAAACCAAAAGTCAGCCAAGCTTCGACAAGCAAAACTAAGCATCAAAAATCGACAAGTCCCACAAAAGTGTTGGCCGCGAATTAACAGGCTTATCTTGCTGTCTGCAAAGTGCGACCTCATGAACAAAGCAGACTGGCAGAGCACCTGAGTCTCCTGACTGGACAGCCGCTTAAGTCAGAATTATTCAGAATAGAAAAACATCAACACGATCAGCTGGCAGCAGACCGATTTCCGCGCGAAAAGCGAAAAGTCAGCGCGATTTTCGTGACATCACGCATGCGCCGTGTGGCAAGCGCAGGTCCGTCCTCTCTTCTGCCGTTCATTGCCTGTGTTGGCGCCGAATGCCGAATCACGCAAAACCGAGAGGAAGAACTCAGAATTTGAGCAAGGCGGGTTGCCTCCCTGTCGATTAACAGTTGCAAAAAGGTAAATTTATTTCTCTCTTTGATTACCACAACGTGTGAAAACGTAAAATTATCGTTTTAATTTAAAAAATTCCAAAATTCTTGACCATGTCAAAAGGAAAGGAACAAAGAATTTTGGTCAAGAATTTTGAATAATGTATTGGAAATTCGAATTATTGAAATTTAATCGTCACCTAACTTTTGTGTTAACATGAAATATGTTGTGTTTCAGTCAGTTCGCGGCCAAGCGACGGAGATTTGCAGAGACATCGGGGTCGAATTTTTCTGCGTCCAAAGTTTGTAGGAGTAGAGAGGGACGAACGTTGTTCCAGCCAATCTAGCTTTCCACTGGTGCAGCCTTTTCCAAACTAGGTATTTATATTTCCATCCTTTGCATATTAATTTATTTCATCATAAATATGCACCTTTTTTATTTTGTGTGTTACGCGTCACGCGTCCAGCCAATTTCCAAAGGAATTCTCGACAGGTGCTTTTATAGCTTCAGATGGAGCTAATTTCTCACAAATTATTATTGTGCAGTAAAAAAGATTTAAGCAATATTTCTATTTAATATAATTAACTGTTTTTCTCAACAACCATAATTTAATTTTTAATTTACATTTAATTTTTGTTTTGAAGACTTTGTAGTTTGTGAGGCATCAAGTTCCACAAACGTGGCAAAATACACTCAATTATGTTCTGTTAATTATTATTATTATTTAACGTTTTATTTTATTTTTGAGTCGCCAAAATCAAAAATTTATTTGTCAGAAAACAGTCGTCCGCATTGATCAGAATTTTATTTATCAGAAATTCATTGCTCAGAAATTTGTATTATTCATTCTGATTAAAATATAAGATAAATGAAAGATTTTAAAGCTCTATAAGCAAATTTTAATAATTTTAATTTATTGTTTTCCGTGACAAAAATCACAAACAATGGCTTGTCACTTTTTAGGCTTTATGTATTTAAATGAAACTAGGCAGAATTCGCAGCACATGATGAGCAGAGTTTATGATTTTTCCATGGATCTTAAAATTTACTTCTCCTTGCTGAGCAAAGTATGATCCAACGCGATCCAATGTTTGCTGATTACTGATTAGTAAAGGCCAATTTTCAAATTTTGTAAGCATTGCTTGTTGCTATAAAAAAAATAAAAAATCTGAGTTTGTCTTGGTTTTCTATACGCAAAGTTTCAACTGATTGTGAATTTTACTTACATAAGCCAATGCAGTTTATATTAGGAAAATATTTGTCTCTTCATGGAACGTTATCTCTCTTAGAAATAATAGTTAATCATAAAATGATTTCAACTTTGAAGAAAAAATTACACTTGATTTTGTTTGAAAATTTTTTCATTTAAATCTACACATGCTTCAATTTCACTTGTTCTGTTTTCTGACGAATGAATTTATGATAAATGTATTTCTGACAAATGAATCATATTGTTCTGATAAATAATTTCTGATGAATAATTTTCGGATAAATGACAAAAATATTTTCTGATACCTTTTTTTCTGATAAATAGGAGGTTCCCTTGTTTTCAACAACAGTCCTCTTATTCAAATTTGTTCTACTTTTTTGATAATTATTTTTCATATTAGCAACTTCTCGCTCAAAATTCATTGCATTTTTCAATTATCTTACCAATTTGGTAAATATTATTATATTATTTTCATATAAACTACATAAATGCTCTTCAACACCCATTTATGGCAAAATATTTGAAAAGTGCACAGCAGGCGCAGAAATTTTTCTATTGGAAAGTTTGCAATCGAAAAACGGGTGGTTTTCGTGCCTCGCCCTCGACCAGTTTGTGTAGCAAAAAAAGAACCACGGTCTGTGGCCTCTTGCGGTCATGGACGTTTAAATGAGAGGGTTTGCGTTTTTTACTTTTTTTTTTAAGAAAAGTCACAGAAAGGTCAAGCAGCCTGAAGGATTGCGACCTCTCACATTATGTCACAAGGACATTGTGTGGCTCAATTATATGGGTGGTGCCGTATTTTCCAACAATTCCTTATTTAAATCAATTGTTTTCAACAATTGACTGTAACCACTGTGATGTAACAAAATGGTAGACAAATAAACAATATCAGTAATAATAAAAATTGGATTAAAGATATTGAAATTTAATCAATTATTAAGAAATTAATTTTTTAGCAACGCCGTCACCAGCTAGTAATTATAATCTCACAGATCAAAAAACTTTATTTTTCTGAAGATTCTTACTTCTATTATTTTTAGGTTTTTTACTTATTACTTAGGATTCTCCTCTCAAACGTGACCCTTAATTTTGACACTTATTATTTTATTTAATCATCGTTCTTCATAAAAAAAAAACTCAAAACTCTACTATTCTCGAAAATTTTAATTTTTAATTTAGAAAAAATCTCAAAGAGTGAAACTTAAAATTCCTCGGTTGCCATTGTAAACTTAAACTGAATGTATTTGCTGTTATAGATTTGAATATTCATATATATTGCGCATATCTGTAAAATAATTCCATGTGTCAATCTGTAAGCACCAAAATGAGTATATAATTTTGAGAAAGTTTAAAAAAAAATAATGTTACCTGAAAAAATAAACTCATTAATTAATTCTTATTTTCATTGCAAAGCCTGGACTGTGCAAAGAAAATGACTTTTAGAGAAGAGCATGTGGCAATTTTTAGCGCACACACAGGACGTAGTGTGGATACAATGTTTAAGAAAGCCACCAAGACCGAAACCAAATGCTGCCGGAAATCCACCAGTGAACTCTTATCACCGACAACTAAGTAAATACAGAAATTTAATACTATATATTATCAATATTAATTTTTTAACTTCTTAATGTAGCTACATCAATATCCAGTTGGACCGCGTAAACTTGGACAACACAAAGATCGACACAAACGTCAAGATTGAGAAAGAACTGCATTTTGAATGTTGGAAAAGGTTGTATTTCATATCAACAAATTCCATCGAGATTAATGAATATTTTTAGCGAGACTTCAAATGAATTTTCAAGAGAGGCTTTTGAGATGGTTGGAGTAACCTGTCACACTGGTACGCCCCAACAAGGGCATTATTATATGTTGGCCAAGCAAAAGAATGGTATTGTCTGAGTGACAATATCATTTGTCATGCTGCTAATATTGATTCATTAAGAAGTTTTCGAGCTGAAGCCTGTCATGTTTTATTCCGAAAAAAGGTAATTAAAATTTCTAGAAAAATTTATAAAAATAATAATTTGTAATAAAAAAACAGCACCCCTATGACCAAGAAAATGAAAGCCTGAAGGTAAAAGGGAAGAGGAACTTTTTGCCTGCTAGTGATGATGATGTGCCACAAGCTAAGAAGAAAAAAGAGGACTTGAGGGCTGGACTCATTTCAGGACAAAGGAAGAAGAAGTGATTGTAAGAGCTGCAGATAAAAATCAGGGTGTCGCTGATGCGACAGAGGAGAATACCATATGCTGAAAAGAAAAATTTCCGAACTGGAAAAAGAAGTAGCTGACCTGACCTTGGCCCTGAAAAAACTTTCAACTCAAAAGAAGTGGTGGCCTTTCTAATATTGTACAAAAAGTGAGAGTTTAAAGTGACTGTGTTTAAAATATGATGTTGTAAGTTAAATTTTTAACCCAGCATTTTAATCCAACGCCTCCAGGATTATTCTATCTGGCCGTCTCACAATTTTTTATTTGCTTTTAAGTTGCAAAAAAGACGACAAATGATATTTAACCCTGAAATATAGCAGTTCAGGTATTTAATTTTTAAAATTCAGGTTTGTTCACAGACCTTGATCACACGGTTTAATATTTCATTTTTTTAGTCGCTGATTTTGCTAGTCGTAATTTTTGTCGTGCGCTGAAAATAGGCGGCCAGCAATTTAATCCAGCGCCTCCAGGATTATTCTAACTGGCCGTCTCACAATTTTTTATTTGCTATTAAGTTGCAAAAAGGACGACAAACGATATTTAAACCTGAAATTTAGCAGTTTGCTATTTATTATTGAAATTCAGGTTTGTTCACAGACCTTGATGATATGGTTTAATATCTCATTTTTTTTTAGTCTCAAATTTTGCAATAGAAATTTTAGTCGCGCCTTTAAGTGAGGCCGCCAGCATTTTAATACAGCCAACATTTTTATCCAGCGCCTTCAGGTCTTTCTTGGTGGCGGTCTTATAATTTTTTTTTTATTATAGGAAAATTAAAATTTTTTTTTTTAATTATTATAAAAAAGATTATGAAATTCTTTTAAGTAGTTTTAGGTTATTTTGAAAAGTCTGGGTATTGACCTTATATAGAATATTGTTTACTTTATTTTATTTCACCCAAATGTACTTTTAGAATTTAAATTGCGCTATAAGAAATACAAATACTATTTTTGTGATCCGTTACTTATTACTACACCCTATTTTAATTATACTGATATCTTGTATAGTAAAATTTCCTCCAAATCCTCCATGTACATAATAATCATAAATTTGTGTTGCTTTGCGAGCTAATTTATTTTGCGCCTCTGCACTCTGCGCGTTTCAGGAGACACCTGGTGGTTGTTTAGAAAGCTCCGATTCAAAACATCAAGATAAAGTTTTCCAAATAAGCAAAAAGCAAGCATGGCGTCAACTCACATGTGTGATTTTCTAGGTAATGTTGTATGCTTAAATCGGCACAGCGAATGAATCAATCGCCCTAATTTTAGCCCTTCCCGTAAAGTACAAAGAGTCGAGCTGCGCCTGCCACTGGCTCTACTGCAAAGAGCATTCGGTCCGTGAAAAAAGTTCCGCAAAACCTGCTGGCCGCACACTTTTTGTCGTCAACGTTCCGCCGTTTTACACAGAGGTAAATTCCTTGATTAAATTCACGTTTGATAATAATTTAAATTTACAACTAGGAGTGCGTGAAGAAACTTTTTGAAGAGTGTGGTCCAATTTTGAATGTCTACTTTCACAAAAAGCCCACGGCTGCCGGGCCTCAGGAAGAGGACTCGCGGTTTTTCAGCAAGATCGAAACCATCAAAGTTGTTTTTAATCATTTGTCTTATTAAACACATAAATCAAATTTTCAATTAGGGCTATAAAGTTGCGTATGTGGTCTTCAAAACTGGATCAGCCTTAGAATCCGCCTTAAAGCTCCGATGGAAGAAACCAAAGGTCTTGTATAGTAAAGAAGACAAAACTCTTCCGACAGCTGTGCAAAGTTTGTACAATTAATAATATTTGAGATTGAATAATTTTAATCTGGTGCATTTTCAGTATGGAAAGCGAGCTATGACAGAAACATTCCTGTTGTCAGTGAGCTTCAGGCGGATATTGACAACTTTATGGCGCAATACGACGAGAAAATATCTGACGAACAGAGAAAGCTGAAAGAAACCGAAGGGCAGGAGGATGAAGAGGGGTGGGTCACTGTGACCAAGAAGGGTAGAAAGCCAGGGTTTGCAAGGAAGGAGAGCGTTGAGCAGAGGGTGCTGGCCAAGGAGGGCAAGAAGAAGGCAAAGAAGGAACTGCTCAACTTCTACACTTTCCAAATTAGAGAATCAAAAATGAATCGTAAGCATCCATTTTACCTTTTTTTTATATTTATATATTAAAATTTTGTTCTCCCAGACTTAGCTGAGCTGAGGCAGAAATTTGAAGAGGACAAAAAGCGAGTTGCTCAACTCCGCCAATCGAGAAGATTCAGACCATTTTAGTGTAAAAATATTTGTAATTTAAGGGAAATATTAATAAACAAATATTAAAGGTTTGAAATGATTAATGTAATATTTATTGTATTCCAATGGTAACATTTTTGCAAATTAGTGGAAATTTTGATATTTTTTGCTCATTGCAAAGCAAAAGTTGGAAGTTAAATTCTCAGTTCTCACCACATAGTACTCGGAAACAAATTATTATCCAGAATCAACGATCAAGACTGAATTTAAAATGTTTTTGCCATCAAGAATTCAGGCATTTTTTCGTTTTATTGAATGAGACTTTTGTTCTGATGTTATTTTCTTATAACTTAATTTTTAAAATTAAAGTCAAGTTTTTTCATGTTGTACAATTATTAAAATTTATTTTCCACATCAATTTTAATCTGAGTCAGAATCCGATGCACTTCCGCTAGAACTGCTACTACTGCTGGACGAAGCTTTTGATCCTTGTGGTGAAGCTGCAGGCGAGCCCTTCTTGCTTCCTTCGTCACCACTCTCAGCATCAGAACCCTTCTTGCTGCCTTCATGGCCACTAGCTTCGTTGTCACTTCCTTCATTTTCACTGCCCTCTGCAAAATGAATTCGAAATTAAAAATGAAGCATAGAAAACAACTATTAATACCTTTGTCAGAATTACTTTTGTTACTTTCGTCGCCGGATTTCTCACCGTCTGTTTCCATTTTCTCGTCATTTTTCTCTTGGCTTTCATTTTCAAGGTCCTCAGCATCTGGAATATAATTATATATTTATCTCACAAAACCTATAGATTGAAATTTCTTACCACTTTGCTCTTTTTCCTGATCATCGTCCTCGGCCATAGGTTCGTCGTCATCTTCTTCACAAATGGTCTCCAAAGCTTTTTCTCTGACTCGTTGCGTCTGGTGTTCAGCTTCATTGAGTGGTCTGTGGTGAACCAAGAGCTTGGTGTTTGTCACACCTCCCTGCTTTTGCCTTCTCTTGTTCAGTCGAACCCTAAATTTTTCATAAAATAATAAAAAAAATTCTTAGCAAACGATTTAAATTAGCTGTACCTAGTCTCGAGCTCATTGAAATAAACTCCGTCGTCTCGCACAACCAAAAAGTAATTTTCTTCATAGCCCTTGCTGGCCTTGCTCTTGACAGTCCAGTTGTACTCTCGAGCCATTTTGTAAGTGTAGTCGTTACTTTCGTCGTCCCACTCCATGCCCAAACTCTGGTCTTGTTTTCTTTTTATCAGAGTATCTTCTGTAGGTAAGAAGTACGCCACAAACTGTTCTCCACTCTCGTCCATCACACCTCTGTACACAAAATTAATATATTTATAAACTATATATCAAATGAAACAAACCTAATCATGGCCTGAGACATTTCTTCAATCTGAGCAGGCACAGATCTACCAACAGGGGCCGGATCCGAATCAAAAATGACTTGAGCACAGGCGTATTTCCACATCTAAATTTATAAAAAAAATAAAATGGTTGAAATATTTTGAGACTTTTTAGCTCACTTTGAAGTCAGGATAGACTGGGAGAACTTCAACTGGAACAACATTAGGTTTGCTGTAGTGCTTCTCGATGGTGATCTTTGAATCGGCAAAAGTTTTCTCGATAGCTGTGACTTGACTGTCCCTGTCCATGTACAAGGTTTCGTCCTTTGGATAATCATTTAGTTAAAAAGTCGCCAGATTAAAATAGACGAAATTTACCTTGAGGGCTTTTTTAACAGAGTAGCCAACTTTAGCCTCAACTTTTTCCATGGTTTGGGGCTGAAATCTTGTCTGTTCTGTGGAAATGTATTCTGTTCGGCGCAACCATGACACGCTCTTGGAGTGTTTCTTTTTCCTGATAAAAAAAATTATTCTTGATGAAAAAATTTAAAAAAATCAATACCTGTTGGCATCTTGTGGCGTCGAGACTTCTTCCTCGAGGAGTTTTTCGTCGATGGGATCCAGCATCGCATCTTGGTCTATGGCGTAGGCGTCGCTGTTGATGAGGTCAATAGTGACCCCAAGGTCGTGCTCCGCCAGCACTTCATACTTGTAGGTTCTCTCAAGAGACGTGGGGTTGTTTTGAATAAATCTCGTTGAGTCGAAAGGGTAAGTGACAAATTTAGTGTCAAAAGGAATGTCGGGCAGTGTGTTGCAGTATTTCACGCGGCAAACCAGATCTGTTCTGCAGTAAAAAGATTTTTTTTTTTTAATTCATTGTACGAAGAGGATTTAAAAAAATCTTACTTTCTTTCCTGGGGGGCAGTTCGTGCGCCGGGAGGGCCCATCGGCCGCTTCTCCGGCTGGCTGTTTTGAGGTTGCAGAGTCGGCGCCATTCTGTCGAAAGGTCCTTTTCAATCAGCAGTCAGGATTTTAAAAGTAATTCGGTATTAAAGGGAATCGCTCATTTGGCCGCAAAGTTCATTCACGGCGGAGAAATCGCAAAAAAGCGGCAGGTGCTCCAGAAACATTAACAGATTAACACAAACACAACAACTCCATGTTTATTCCTGTTTATTCCATTGGCTTTTTGGCCAATAAGACGCTTTTGGCTTTTTCTATGGCCACGCCCACTTTTTTGCCAGGCATTGGCGCGAAAACAGAGCGGACCCTGGATCAGCGCTTGAGCGCATCTTGTGTTATAATTCAAGGATTATTATTACCCTCCATCCCGGAGATTGTGGGTTCCGTTCACATTCCAGACGGATTTTTCTCGGAAAAACTTGAAAGATTTCTCATACTAGGACTGATTGTGAGTTATTCCGTTGTTATGCAAAGTCGGCAGGGAGAAGGGTGCACTTTGGAACCCAGTTATACGTTGAGGCGTTTAAAAGAAAATCCTTTTAAGTCTTCAAGCAGGATGATGATATGCCTTAATTATTTTTATTTTATTTATGTTGTGAAAAATTATGTCTCATTTAAATATAAGGAAAGACCAGCTGAAGAAATTTTCAATTAAATGATTTTTAGCGATTGTTAGTAAAAAATTCCAAGCTATATAAAAATGGTTTCCTATAATTGCTTTCAACAAGTTTTTCTGCACCACTTTGTTCCAATTAAAATTTTGCTCGAGAAATAGAAAAAGAATTAAGACTATCCAATCCAATATCCTAGTGCTGTCAACAGTTTTGCCACGGAAACTGTTTTTAATGTACGCTGAGAACAATAAAATTTTCTAAATTTTTATCTTGTCAAGTGCCTACTTTAGTTCGATTAAATCTCGAAATTTAGATTAATTCCAGTGTAGCATCACGTGTTTATCAGTAAGGTTGTTGAATTTTTTTCTATAATTCCAACACAGAAATTAATTGAAAAATAGTGTATTAAATTTAGCGACAAAATGAAGAGCAACAATTTTCATTCCGTATCGTCTACCCTGCTGTTATTAATTTCGTTGACTAATCTTGTTCTGGTAAGATAACATAAAATTTTATAACCGGATTATCGATTGAATAATATTTATCCTAAAGCGGCCCACATCATGTGCAGCTTTAATTGCAAGTAGCAAAGATCTGGCAGCTGACGTTGAAACTGCGCACACTGACCTTTTACTTCTATCTGCCCGAAGCTCTGCCTGCTTTTTTCGCACAAACGACATTTTTGCCCTTGTTAACAATGATTACAAAATCAATGTTCAACAGATTACTTTGAAATTTGAAGAACTCAATGTAAGTTACAGAGATAAATATATTTTCACTAAAATTATATTCCAATTTTTTTAGGTGACATCTTCAATTATAGATCAGTTTAGATCAGACATGCAGCAAACCGACTACTATGTCAACACTTTTCTGCGACTTCAGAAGGACGCATTTGAGAGCTACGAGGCACGCGTTCACACATACGAGAACAATCTATTGACAAATTTGCCACTCATCCCGGAAAACTTGGCCCATCTAAGGGAAGATACGAATTCAACCAATTCCATATTTGAGATAGTGGACAATAATTTGACGAAGGAAATCTATTTCCTGAATTCAGAAGTTCAATCAATTTTATCTGGATACGTAAGATAATATGATTTTTATCATTTTAAATTTAATATCTTCAGATGAAAACGAGATTTTTCTTTCTTTCAAAACTCTTAACTGAACTCGCATTATTACAGGAGGGAGAACCTGCTGAAGTGGAAGCGCAAATACTGCTACAGGAGATAATTTCAAAAGACATTGAAACACGGTTTCGGCTAAATGTAGCCAAGTCCGATTTTGACGTGGCTGCAAGCAATGCAGATGGATCGATGCAAATAGTTGCCAGTCAAGTATAATTGCATTATTTTGTCTACGCTAAATAAAAAAGAATTAAATATCTGGATTTAAGTTGAATAAAAATTATAAAATACGTGTGCAATTTATTTTCAGTGATTCTTTTTTAATTGGATGGACTCTATTTATATATATGATAAAAATTAATTAATTCGCACAAAAACACTCTATTTTGCAATACATTAGAAATTAGTTAATAAAAATTCATAAAAAACATAAAAGAAAAAGCTATTACTAATAATTTCAAAAGCAACATTTTAAAATAATTTATTAACCACAAAAAAAATTATTCATGTCTTATTATACAATTATTGTTAAAAAATTTCATTATGCAATGTTGTCTCTAGTAAGCTGCAATGGCAATAAAAATAATGATAGTCTCAATTGACCTGGCTTTTTTATTTACATAACATAATTTTAAAATCATCTACATGCTCGTAAACAAAATATGTACCCTCAATTGATTTTAGGTGATAATATCGTGATTGATAAACACAATCTATCCATGCAAAGAAAATATAAAGAGATTGCATAAGACCAATATCTGAAAACAAAATGAGATATTAATCTAAAATGCAAGCAAACAACAGAGAGACAAAAAACGATGCCACCCACCATTATCAGACCGAGCGTGTCAAAGTGAATTGATTGTCAAGAGCGAAACAAGTTGCACACGGCACAAATATTTGAGGAGTATGAACTATAAAAAGGGCTTCGAGTAATGCAGAAGCGCATTATTAACAACAAAGTTGGTGTGCATAATGAAGACCGCCGTTGTGCTTCTCGCCTGCCTGGCCTCTGCATTCGCTGGTAAAATTCAGTTCAAGAACTTCAAAATTAAATTTTATAAAGTTAAATTAAAACTATGCAACTGGTGCGACACCCCTGCGCACGTGGTTGCATAGCCCAGTTTGCCAGGGGAATTAATGAATATTTTAATAATAATTTCTATGTCCACAGCATGCCCGAACATCGTTTCCCGCTCTGCATGGGGTGCTCGTCCTCCCACCAGCATCACCTACCTGAGCAACCCTGTCCCCTACGTCGTGATCCACCACTCTGAGTCCGGAACATGCTCGTCCCAGGCCTCCTGCTCGGCGTTGGTACGTGGCTTCCAAGACCAGCACATGGACGTCAACGGCTGGTCTGACATTGGCTACAGCTTCCTGGTTGGTGGTGACGGCAACATCTACGAGGGTCGTGGTTGGGACCGCGTTGGAGCTCACGCTCCGGGCTACAACAGCAACTCCATCGGCATTTGCTTCATTGGCAGCTACATCTGTAAGTAGTAAAATAAATTTAAAGATTTTGTCACAATAAATATTAAAAAAATTGCAATTTCTTCCCAAAATAATTATTTAAAATTCTTAAAAATAGTTTTTGGAAACTATTTTAATCTAGGAATTATTTTAAATTTATTCTGGCATGTATATTTTTCAGCCTCCGCTCCCAGCAGCACTTTGGTTGACCCCGTCAGGCAGTTGATCCAGTGCGGTATGGACGATCGCTATGTGCAGCTCGCCCACATGACCATTGGTCACCGTCAGGCCGTGGCAACCGACTGCCCCGGAGATGCTCTCTACAGCCTCATCCAGACCTGGCCCGATTTTGAGCCCAACCCTTAAGCGATAACTTTCATGCTCATCATCATCAGCAATTCGATGCTCAATATTTCTTCTGTGATCTTTTTAAAATCATGTTAAAAAAAATGAAAAATAAAAATGAAATTTGTAAATAAATGGAAGAGTTTGTTAATTTAATACTTCTATGGCCTATCTTTTTTATATCTTTATTCTGAGAAAATTTGTACAAATTCTGCGAAATCTCTAATTAATCGGCTAGATTGAGAACTTGATATTTATCAAGTTTAATCTACTTAGTTATGTTGTCTTTGAATAATGCTTAAATTTTTAATTATTATTGAAATTGAATAGAGCAAAAAGATACAACATACTCTGTAGTTAACAGCCCAACATATTAAAAAAAAATTAGAATGTTAAAATTTTGATATAAGTCAATTATTTTCTATGGAAAATAATCATGTTCAATTATTATTATTATTTTTTTTTTTTTAAATTTACTCTCGAGAAGATAGTTATGGAAGTGAAGAGATCGGGATTTTCCTCGTTGTAAAAAGCAAAATAATTTTTATAACAAGGAAAAGCCGAATCACTTCACTTCTGATTATTATTATGTTATATAATAAGAACGTTTTTTTTTTGCTTTTTTGTTACAAGCAGAAAAAAAATCAGATTTCTTATATAAATATAATACATAATATACATTTAAGGATGATGTACATTGACAATAAATAATAAAAGTCACGTAACAAAATACACGCACAAAAGGGTTAATTTCGTGCAAAAAGAGTCACGAGACTCTTGGAAGTGTTTATGTCGGTTTATGTTTTATTATCTCTAGAGTGCTTCTCATCATAGTTGCCTTATGGAGTTTTACCATAAGAGGTAAGCTTCCTTTTTTAAATCCAAACTCTTTCATTGATACATTATATTTCAGATGTTTCTCCTATTGCTCTTTAAGAACAACTTCATCATTATGTGACTGCAAAGATTATTTTTTTCTTACACAATTTTTCAATGAAAAACGTTTCAATATTGTTATTGTTTGACGCATCTCTTGAGAGGTTAGTGTTATTCGCATATAAATTATTACAATAATTATCAGAAACTTGAGATATATTATTATCTTCTTTTTAGTTTTGGCCTTTTAGTGTTTCATATTGCGCACGGCATTATTATCTTGTTTACTCTAATTTATAAAGCGGCACGGCTTTTGAGTTTCATCTTGCCGCAGCCACCAGAATGAAGATTACTATTGTAATTGCCTTGGCAGCCTGTTTTTCAAGCGTCTTTGCAGGTTAGTTTTAAGAAGCTTAATTCTTTAAAGTTTGTAATCTTGATTTTTTTTTTAATTTAAACAGATTTAAAAAAAAAGTACCAAGAAGTAAAATAATTCAATTATAGCCTGCCCTACAATCGTAAGCAGAGCCGATTGGGGTGCCCGACCACCTTACAGCGTTTCTTACCAGCCTCTGCCAATTCCGTACGTTGTCATCCACCACGCCGAGTCTCAAACTTGCAATGACTTTGACACGTGCGCCGCAATGGTGCGTGGTTTCCAAGACGAGCACATGGACGTAAACGGCTGGTCGGACATTGGCTACAACTTCTTGGTCGGCGAGGACGGCCGAGTGTACGAGGGCAGGGGTTGGCAGGCCATCGGCTCGCACACACCGGGCTTCAATAGCTTGAGCATCGGCGTTTGCTTCATTGGAACGTTCTCCGCTTACTTGCCATATCCCGTTGCTCTTGACGCAGCCAAACTTCTCAACGAATGCGGCATTGAGCAAGGCTATCTGTTCCCTGACTTTGGGCTCATCGGCCACAGGCAGGCCTTTGTCACCTCTTCTTGCCCTGGAGATGCTCTCTACAATGAAATTACAACCTGGCCTAACTTCGAACCTAACCCTTAATAATTTAAATATAATTATTAATAAAGTCTGATCTATTTCATGAAACAATCTAATATAAATTTTTTTATTGAACTGAAATTAACCTGGAATTGTTCCATAGGAGTTAAGTTTGTAACTTTTTTCTGCAGAATCTTAACGAAAAGGAAATAGTTTTGTTCGTAATTAACTTTCCAAAGAATAGGATTGATTGTTTCTACACATTGTAGTTGGAAATGGTGTTTTATGTCTATTGTAAAAATTAATTTTAATAAAATTTGATTGAGAGAAGATTTGATAAAAAAAAGGTGTTAATATTTTTTAATCCATACACATTGAACACCTTTCGTGTAATAATGAGTATCAATTAAACTAAAATTTTAATTTCATTACTATTTTTTTTTGTCTAGAGCCAATTACATTCTTTTAGCTTGCGGAAGGCAGGTGGAAGGCAATCTCCAATATTTTTATAAAACACTGGAAGCCTTCGATAACTCTTACATGGAAATTAAAGAAAATGTGCAAAAAGTAGAAACAAACAGTATAATAATATAATATAATTCAATGGCATACCTCTTTCGCGCTTTTATTTGAACACTGAGAATGGACCAATCAGAGAAAGTCATTTTAGAAGATGAGACCAATCACAAGAGACTTCGCAGCTGTCGCAACAACAACAAGCAGAATTTCTGCAAATTTCTTATTTACCTCTGTTTGATTTTATGATTTGATCAAATTATGATGGATCAATTAGCAAAAACGATAGCTGATTTAAATTTTGATCCCAAGTCGGACCAAGGGAGGATCGTTGTATCGCAGGTGAAAATATTATTATGCATTATTCTTATTAATTCTATAAATTGTGCAGCATTTTTTTTTTTACCAAACATAATAATATTTTTACTCCATTAAATTACGTACTAATTTATTTTAATTAATTAATAAATATTTTAGCTTGTGGAAGCGTCTTCCAGCAATGAAGACACAACCTGCTTGATTGGTCCCGTCATGAAATTGCTGCCATCATTGGACTTGGGTGTTAAAAAATCCATTCACCACATTTTACCAAGGTTTTAATTCAATCTAAATTTCGTAATTTAAATTATTGATTGATAATTTTTCAGGCTGTGCAAAAAGCACCCTCAAGCAGCCGTGTTGGCCGTGAACTGTGTCCTCCATGACTGCGGCGACCCAAATCCGGAGGTCAAGTGTCTTGGCGTTGCCTCCATCTGTGCCATTCCCGAATTTACAGAACATGTATCTGGAGTCGTCCAAACACTTCTGTCTGATCCGCATCCAAAGGTGCGACTTGCAGCTGTGAATGGATGCAGAGCGCTTCACAAACACAGTCCTGCGGCTCCCTTAGAGCTAGGACTTATCGACATCCTCTATTCTCTTGTCCGAGACTCAGATTCGAAGGTAGTAATTATTCTCTCACTGTCCTTATTTAAAAATAAAATACTAATTATTCAATAGGTCTCTACCGCAGCGATTTTAACTTTGGACTTTCTGCTGGCCGAGGAGGGAGGTGTGATTGTCACTAAGGCAATGGCAAAACACCTTTTAAGACGCCTCGGTAGCTACCCCCCGCCGCAACTGGCCTCTGTCCTCCAGGCACTTGCCAAGTACAAGCCCAAGGAAGAGGCTGAAATATTTGAGGAATTGTCACTCATCGACCCGTACCTGGTTTACTCCCAATACTCTGCCGTCAACGTCAACAGCATTAACCTCTTTCTTACTCTCATCGAAGGTCCTTTTGAGCACCTCGTTGACCAACTCGTGCAAAGGTCAAGCCCGAGTTTAGTCGAGTATCTGTCCAGCACGTCAGAGTCAACAGCTACCCTTGTGATAAACTTCTTGTCTGGTGCTAGAGGGAAGAATTGGCTCCAAGATTTGCCTTCGGCTTCGTTGGTGCCAAGAATGACCGACTCGTCAAATGTGAAGATGAAAAAAATGGCCCTTTTGTCTGTGACCTGCCGGAATGACGAGGTGGAGAAAGTTCTTACCTCGATCACCCCCTTTTGCTATGAAAATAGTTGTGGGCAACAGGCAATTCAGTGTCTATGTGAGATTCGAGCAAAGTTCGAGGTAAAAATCTAAAATCTTTGATTTACAATAAAATCTAATATTTTATAATTTTACTTCAGTCGTCAGCAAGTAAGTGCCTATCAGTCATTCTTCAGCTTTTGGACTCGCCAGATCCTCAAGTACTGAGAAACACACTGGCTGGTGTGGAAAAGTTCAGCTTTGAAGGAATTCCGTCTGAAGAAATTTTGAAAACGCTTGAGAAAATTGTAGACAGGATGGACTTATTCAAGCCAGAATCTATTCCATCAGTTTTGCCGCACTTACTTGGACTGCATGGAGAGACTTTGCCCACTGCTCCTTACATTTTAGAGCATTTGGTCAATAATTACGAGCAGCTCACTGAAGAAACTCGGTATGCGAATGAAAAAGACAAATTATCAAACCCTAATAAAATTTGTTATTGCTACAGAATGTTTTTGCTGGTGGGCACGTTGCGGTTATTCCTGAAACAGCCTGGTGAGTGCCAACTTACATTAGGCCGACTTTTCCAATTTTGCGTCAACGACTGTGATAACATTTTGCTCTCGGAAAAAGCAACCAAATTTTATAAAATACTAACGTACGATCCAGAGCTAATGAAAGCAATTTTAGGTGTGAATTAAAAAATAAAAAAACAAATTTTTATTCTTCTTCTTGTACAAAACTACTATTTTTAATTAAAAAATACAGTTGCCCTTTGCCTTAAAGTAATTTTTCAAGTCCTCCTGCGCGCCTTGCATGGTTTGGGTCAAGAGAGCTTTGCTGCCGCTGTTGCTCAATGTGTTGATCACTCTCAGAAAAACGTGAACGTTGCTATCAGAGACGGGCATCGCGTTATCGGCGCACGCAAAAGTGGCGGTTATCATTTGATCGTACTGGCTTTTGATTTTCTTGTCTTTGGACAAATTGAACTGCGGATGAATCGGTAGGGTCTGAACAAGTCCCCAATCGTTTTCACACGCTTCGCACATGCACCTGAAGTGATAATGGTCCAGAAGATAGCTTTGCCGATCTTGCTTCGGGTCGAACGCGAAATGCTCTTTGTACGAGTCGAAAATCTGCTCCCCCTTTCTAATGTGTCTAATCGCTTGAATCACATTGGCCGTGCCGTAATTTGTGCGAAATACGTTCGGATTGCACGAGTGGTTCAGCAGAGATGAGCAGGCAAAAACTCCTCCACCCACCACTTGATACCTCACCCTGCTCGCACCACCCAAATGAGTGTGTGTTATTTCGTGAGCGTTATTCTTCAGGGCTACCAAATTTTTCAGGCAAAATGCTGCTAATTGATTTTCGAATTTCGGATCGGCCAACTCGAAACATTTGATAATTTTGATGGAAATGGTGCAGGCGGCGTATATCATTAACAATGGCAGTTGCGCCAGGTTTGTCACTAGGTTGAAAATTGCCTCGAAAGAGTCCGATTTGTAAATTCCATCCGGGTTGAAGCCTTTTGACCTGCCGTCCGGCGCTTCGGGTTTGCTCAAACGCTCTTTGACCTTTTTAAGTCCAAATGTGGTCACAATTCGAATGAAGTGACAACTCCTCTGCAAGTTCATCTCGTCGATGACTTTGAAACACCTGCTCGCAACTGGACATTCCTCATTGTGGTATTGTTCCTTAGCAATTTCCCTACATTCTTCACTACAGAAGAGAGCCTGTAAAATTTTTTGTATCAAAATTTTTTCTTTTCATAAATATATAACTGAAAACTTACCCAGTCGCAGTTATCGCATGGGACTAAAGAGTTACTCCTGCGCATGCAATGACTGCAATGCGTGGAAATGCATTCTGGAGCCAACACCGCTGCATACGGCTGCTCAACTAGTACAAAATCACCTTAAAATGGAAGAAAAATTAATTAAAATATTCAAAAATTAAATAACATTCTTAAGAAAATGACTTTGAACCCTGTCGCGTCAACGGATAATATAATTTGTTAATTTGAACAAAACTTATTTTAATCTGAAAATCAAAAGTTGTACTTTTTTTTTTGAATAAAAATTAATTTAAATTTTTTTTGGAAATTTGCTAACCTGCTTGAATGTCTCTTGCAGCTATTAAATGCCTTCCGAACTTCTCATCACTAGAAATGCAAACCGCGCCAGACAAGCTCGGCGCCTCCTTGTTCTTTCCATAGCTCACATTTGGTGGCGCTGGGTAATTCTCCGCCGCTCTTTTCGCACGAGGCACCAAACCACTCTCGAATTCTTTTCCAACACTTTCCACGAGATGCTCTTTCTTTTCCTCCGGCAGTTTAAGTCCCAAAATGCACTCGGTTGCCTTGTCCAGGCTCAATTTCGCAGCCTTTTGGTTTTTCAGTTCCTTGTAGCATTTCGATTGTCGGACGTACAGTTTGAACAGCAGCATTTGCGGATAATCATTTTTCACAGCCCTGTCCACATCTTGAATGCACTCTTCGTACTGTCCTAGTATCTCCAGCACGGCGCTCCGGTTCGCGTACGCCTGGCCCCGGGCGCTGGACCCTTTCGGCGCCCATGTGGCGCTCCTAGTGTAAAACTCGACCGCTTCATGGTGTTTTTGTAAATTTAAAAAGTCGTTTCCCAGCTTTCTGAATGCTTCTGCCTGGGAAATTTTGTCCTTTTTAGTGGACTCGGTGAGAAGCAGGTCGTACTCCTTCCTTATTTCGGCGCCGGCGATCTCCTGGCAAATTTCGATGAACTTCTCGCAACTCACATTTTCCCGTTTTCCACCTGCTGCCACTTTGCGCTCGAACAACTTGAAGTCCTCTTCTTTCAAATTCATGCTGTCCGCCCACGTCTAGATCCGGAGTGGAAATCAAGCAAGTGCGCCCAGCGGTGCTGGCGCGCGTATAGATCAAGAGGACTAAAAATAGCGCTGCTCAATGCCCTGTCGCATATAAAAGAATAAAGGGCCGCCGAGGAATATCAACGAAGGGAGGATCAGGCCGAGCTAGGAGCTGCAGAATCTAAATATAAATAAGTAGCGGGTATTGAAGGCAGCACATAAGCGCGCCATTCATATTTAAAAATACACAACTCTCGACGAGCAGAAGTCTTCTGCAACTTATTAGACGCGACAGGTGCCGAGGAAGATTGATAGTGTACATTTGAAAAAAAAAAACTAGGCTACAGGATCTTTTGCTTCATTGGCGCAGGGTGGTAGAAATGAAATAACTTGACTTTGGAATGCTGTACATCTAGAGTATTAATTTTTTTTTATCTCACTTTTAGAACAACGATGGGAATATTTAATTTTTATTAAAAAAATAATTTTTCCAAATCACATCAATAAAAAAGTTCTAAATAAAATTTTCAGTCCGAGCCAATTTAAAGGAAGGAAAACCATTCTAAACACTAAGAGACAGGTACTCGGCCACAAATATTCGCATAATCTTATTCAAATTTGCAATGGTGCTGAAGTCGAGAGCAGAATAGTTGTCACCTGACTTGTGCCAGACTGTTGGGAATGGCGAGGGTATCAAGTGGAGGATTGGAACTCCTAAAAAGAAAATTTTGTTATTCCTGATTCTAACAATTTTTTAAAAGGGGTCACTGACCTCTCCTAAGGAAAGGGATGTGGTCATCTTCGATGCCTGCGTAGATTGACTGCGGATTGAAGTATCTGTGCTTTGGGTAACCATCAAATCCGTAATTGTACTGCTCCAGCAAGCGCTGCTTTGCTAGTTTATCCTCGGCGCCGACGAGGTGTTTGTACCATCTGTCAGTGTCAGCAAAGTAATTGTAGAAACTTGGAAACTCAACGCCAATCAGGTCAAGAAGCACAAGCATGTCCTGTTGATTAAATAAGATAATAATATAATACAAAATTTTGTAGTAAAAAAAGATTCCGCACCATTCGATCTAAGTGATTTGCTTCTTCGCCATTACCAGCTCTAAAAGAAGACTTTTGCAACTTCCGAGCTAAATTCTTGGCTCCGTAGATGGAATCATTAGGTCCCCATGTTTTAAATGCTTCCTCACCGTCAAAGAAAATGAACTTCAGGCTTACAGTACTCTGCAATCATAACAAGTTTTCCTAAACATCAAAATATTATTGGAAATCTGTTAATACATCAAAATATACAAATGATAATTGTCTGCTCTGCTGCAAACCAACTAAATGTTCACCTTGTTTAAATTGTTAGGTTTCTTTTTCCTCCTAAGCTTAGTTTGCTTGGCCCTTTTTGACCTACTTTTCAATGCAGTGTCAGCCTTTTGTAAAAGTGACACGCCACTTATTGATATGATGGAAATACAATTTGACTTATACCTGCTCCAAAGAATTCTTCTTTAAATACAAGTCCATGGAAGAGGCCAAATGCAAAAGCATTGCGCAAGGGACGGCCGAGTCTGTTGCACCAATAAAATCACCTTCCCTTGTGTATTTTGAGTCGTAGTGACAAGCCAAAGTCAAAAACCGCTCTGCTTGTGGGTTCAGCCGAGCAATGACGTTTCCAAATTTCAGACGTCCCATCGGTGTGGTTGCACTGAAGGCATCTTCCTCTACTTGCCAGCCAAGGTTTTCCATTGTGTCCATCAAATACTATTTTTTGTTGGAAAAAAAAATTAAATTGAATCACATAATTTAGGGATCTTTTACCTTTTTAACATTTTCATGGTTTGCCGTTCCAACCACTCTAGGTATCATGATTGGGTCGAGCAGAGTCTTAAAATCAGCTGCATTTTCGAGGCCAGCGATTTTCTTTACTTGATCATCAGACACGGTAGTTCCTCGATGACCTTCCTGCAGTAACAAAAAATAGTTTTTCACGTTTTATTTTTTTAAGGGAAAATCTCACCCTGGCCGTTTTTAAATAATTAGAGGCCCCTTCGTAGTGGCCCACCAAGCACGTCGAGACGAAAATTACGCTACACAAAATCCTCATTTTGGCACCGCGCGGCAGCTCCACGCAAAGGTGTTTGGTCGACTGACGCTTTTAACAAGGCCAGAAAAGCTTGGTAAATTTCAGCAAGGCCGTCGGAGTGCCACTCGCATCCTGTGAAAAAGTTGATTTTATATCTTCCTGCAATCGTCACGATAAAATTTGCTGGCTATCGCTCATGCTCTATGGAGCCTTAGCACGTGAAAGTAGGCAGTGCGAAATCCACGATTTGCAACCTTACAGGTTTCTGCGACCTCCAACCGAACGTAACAAATTTTGGGCGAGGAGAAAGGAAACTTTTGTAGAATTTAGGAGGAAGAACAAGTTTATGTTACCTTCAACCTATTATCTTTACATGCTGAGCTGGAAAGCGCCTTCGAAAGGGAAATAAGTGGTGGTATTTTGGTCGAGCAGCTGACCGTCGATGGGGCTTTAAAGGTCAATGGCCCGAGGCAGTCGAGCGATGATCGACGCGCCCGCCACCTGCAGGCCGATCCGCAAGTTGACATGCAAAACAAAACAAAAAGCTCCAAAACTGCAATGAAATTCGCAACAACTATGGCCTCTGCGGCTCTGCAACTGGGAATTCTGTGTTAAATAATGGACGATAATGGTGACAGGGAGGCCAAATACTCTCGAAGAAGGGTCGAGGAGGCGCAGAGTTTGTGGCTGAAGCAGGAGAGGACCGCTTTGTACAAGAAGGTAACAGCCCGTCTATTCCCTGTTTTCGTGCTGATTTGACGTTAATTTGCACAGGTCACGGCGATTCTGCAAAAAGATGAGACGGAAAGGACGCAGGACGAAAAGGACGTTCTTCTGGGCTGCGACGAAGTTGCCCAGGAGGTGTCAAAAAGGTGATAATTTTGCTGAATTCTCCATCAAATTTTTTATTATTTTGTCATCAGGCTTAAGAGACAGCAGCAGCTGAAGTCTCGGATAGAGGAGGTTGAAGATCCACCATCGGCCCTTGAGGAGAAATGCCGCCTTTTGGCAGGAGCGATTGCAAAGTCTCGAAATTTGGTCGTGTACAGTGGAGCTGGAATCAGCACGGCAGCTCGCATTCCTGACTACCGAGGTCCGAATGGGGTGTGGACTCTTCTGCAGCAGGGCAAGGACGTCGGTTCACACGACCTCAGTCTGGCAGAGCCGACGCAGACACACATGGCACTGAGTCAGCTGTATCACTGCGGCAGGCTCAAGCACGTCGTTTCTCAAAATTGTGATGGACTGCATCTGCGGTCAGGACTGCCAAAGAAAGCGCTCTCCGAAGTTCACGGAAATATGTACTTAGAGGTACAACATAGACTTTCATTGACACAAATTGTTCAATTAATATTAATTATGCTGCAATTGAAATTTAAGCAAGAAAATGTTCAATTTCAATGTTATAAATATCAAATATTTATTTTATTACATTTGGATATATACATATTTTTCATGTCCTCAGGTCTGCCGATCCTGCAAGCCCCCTCGGGAATACCTCAGGCTGTTTGACGTTACGGAGCGGACGGCCCGGTTCAACCACAAGACCGGTCGACTCTGCCACATGTGCGGGGAGCCCCTTCAAGACACGATCGTCCACTTTGGTGAAAGAGGCTCTCTGCAATGGCCCCTCAACTGGCACGCGACCACCAATGCTGCCAGAACGGCCGACGTCATTCTTTGCCTCGGCTCGAGCTTAAAAGTGTTGAAGAAGTATCCGTGGTTGTGGTGCTTGGACATGCCTGTCAAGAAAAGGCCTCTCCTCTACATCGTCAATCTGCAGTGGACGCCAAAGGACGACCAGGCCACTCTCAAAATTAATGGTAAATATCAAGTTGATTTGATTTTTTTTATTATTATTAAAATGACACAATAGTTAAAAAACAAAATAATGTCCAATAATGAAACAACCTAATTCACATTTCAATCACAAACATTCATTTTTTATGCCTCTTTGTATCCGCTGCCCTTTTTGACAAAGATCTGATTGTTTTCCGCCCACTGACCTTTTTCCTGCTCAGGTGCAGTGCTTGGGAAACTTACATATCCCTTTCCTACCAGAATATCCTCAACTGTCTTTTTCCCTCCTTGGACATACTGATAATTGACCAGCAGAACCTGAGGAGAAAATTTTTAATCTTGGTTATTTGCTTTATCTTTTTCCCCCTACCTTTATGTCAACTTTGTCGAATGGAATTGATTTGAGGACCTCGGCTTCACTGCCTCCGATGCTGAGTCTTAAAAAGTCAACCGTTTTTTGGTTTAAAGCGAGGATGATGGTTTGCAAAGGCATGCAATGCACTTTGAACGTCTCATTGTTGCTCGCGTCGACTTTCGAGGCTTCGCCCAGCCCGGCTTTGAATGCCGACAATTTCGGCTTTGTCGTGAGACTCAAACACGTTGGCAATAGAGCTGCATTTCTTTGTTTTGCAAGGGCGAGACGGAAATTCTGCGGATCAGCTTCGATTAAAGCTCCCGACCATTTCAAGCTACTTTCTAGGAATATGGTTTTGGACGAGGTTAACCCATCGTAGGCGCCGCACTCCACAAAATATCCCCCAGACTAGCAATTCAATTAATTATTTTTTTATAAGTAGAATTAAATAATTTTCTGGCAATATTACCTTATTCTGGAATATGTATTTCAATCGTAATGCGTCTGCAGCAGTTTCGTTTACCGCGTATGTGACACGTAATTCTGCGGCGGGCGGTGGAATGACCTTGTATTTTTTGACGTAGCTGATTAAGTTTGCATTGTCACCTTCCAGGGTGTCAAGAGTTGCAGCTATATTTAAAAAAATATTTATAAAATTTATTGGTAAAACAAAAAATCAAAAACCTTCGCTCTGTGAATAGGCATAGTAGTTTCGCACCTCTGAAAAAATTGATTTTATTCTAAATTCGAACATAATTATTGTTTAAATTTTTTTATTTACCTGCAGGTACATTGATGGAGAGGAAGGTCTCCAGTTTCTCGTGGTCAATGGTCGCACTCATTGTCAGACTTGGAGTTGTTGCGTTTGCAGGTTGACCTGCGACTGCGATTCCTGGTTTCGTATTGTTAACGATGGATGTGTTGAGCTTTTTGACCATTTCTGCAACCGAATTTTTGAATTCGTTCAGCTTTTTTTCATTCTCGACGCTCCTTTTCTCGACGACTTCCACTCGTTGGAGCAATTGCTGCAATTTCTGCATCGGTTCGACCGACTTTGCCTCCAATTCCTGAATGCTGAGTTGCGTCGTCTCCAGAGAGGGCTTCATTTTCAGCAACTCGACTCGCAAGGAGCCGAGACTTTTGAATATGAAGTAATATTGGCAAACTAATCCCACCACTAGGAAGTAGCTGATCCACCAACTACTGCTTTGGGCAGTCATTTTCCCTCCAGAGTTTTGGTCGAAATGCCAAGTGGACGAGCCGCTTTTGATATCTCAACTGGCGGCGACGCGTCCGATGTGGAGATAACAACCTTTCCCTGCCAACCTTCCCTGAAAATAATTATAAACTTCCTTGTGATAATAATTACAATCAGTTTTATTCACAATTGTTAAATTCAAAATTTGTGCTTCTGAATTTCATTGTAATATTTTTCCTTTTGTTCAGGCCGATGTGATGAAGTGTTCCTGAAAGTGATGTCACACCTGAAGATCCCCATTCCCGAGTACAACCGACTCTTGGACCCCATCTTCACTCACGCCACCCATTTGCACCCTTCCGAGTTGCGCACCACCAGCCGTCCCTTCTTGCAAGGAGCAGAGCCGGTGAAGACAGAAGTGAAAGAATCTCTGCCCGCAGTCAAAGAGGAATCGCCAGCCGCCTCAGATCTCAATCCCAGACTAGATTTTGCTGTGCATCAGGGTCAGTTTGTGCAGCGGGAACACAATTATTGTGTGGACGATGACAAGAAGTTTGAGTGTCACTTTTGTTGGATCAATTTTTCCTCGGCCGAATGCTTCTTTTATCCAAGTCGTCAGTTGACGGAAAAAGCAATTTTGAGCGATTTGAGTTCCGAAGAAGAAGAAAATTCGGATGAAGGTCCCTCCAACACGAAGAAGTGTGCAAACCCTGGTTGGTTTGGCAAAGGGTATAGGAAAACTTGTAAAAACAAAAGGAAGAAAGTTTGAACACCAATGCGGAACAGCTTAATAAAGCGCCGTTATTTTTTGCTATTTATTTAATATACGCCAACAAGTATTGATGTACATTCCATTTTTTTAACGATGCTATAAAGAAGCATTTTTTTGGTAGCTTTTCAAAATCAGGCAGTGCTAAACCAATTTTTATTATAATATATGTTTTCACAAATTTTGGGTCACAACTAGTATTAATAGAGTGCTTTGTAATAGGTCAAATCAATAATAATATAATTAATTATGTATTCATTCAGCTGTGCAGTAACGCGTACCTGTTGATTTGGATTTCCATTTCAGCTCCATAATAGTAATAATTACTTGGGTGATGCATGAATTATATCAATTATATACTTTGCTCAACTAAATGTTATCCGGCTTCATTGATTCTTCCTTTGCAGTATAATTACTCCGTAAGTAAAATCCACCCATGCTCTGTTCATGATACTCAGGCTAAGCAATTGTCGTTACTTAATAAGCAGATATATATGTATTTTGATTGTGTTGAGAATTCTGAGTTTATCTGTCTTTGTGAGAAAAAGGGTTGCTTGTTGCCGTGATTTGATGTACAGTATTATCTGTCTGTGTTCTCTTTTGCATACCGAATAAACATCTGAAAATTTTCTACGGAAGATATACCTAATATAATTATAGCGTTTCAATTAAAAACAATTAATGAGGGTAACATATGTTTATTTAGCCTTCTCTTTCTCTAACAACTCGGTTAAAATGGTTGTGACCACAAACAAGTCTGCTCGATTGTCCGACATTTTGGCCACAAGTGTCACAAATGACCCGAATGAATTTTTCTTTCCCTTCAGAAACGATTTCACCTAATTATTAATCAAATATTTAAACCACCAGAAAGGGAAATCTAGGTTTTTGTTTTACCTTTTTAGGGTTTTCAGCAATCGCAGCTACGCAAATCTTTCTTAAATCTTCAGGGTCAGATATTTGGTACCAAGAATTGTCTTCCACAATCTGATGATATTGTTTTAATACAATATTTATTTTTCTTACAAGCTTTACCTTTCTGGGAGTGGATTGAGGGTTGTCTTTTAAAATCTCCAATACAAGTATTAGTGTGTTAACACTGATTTCCCTGCTTGCCAACAAATTGTACAGTTCCACCATATTCTCAATGGAGATGGGGCTGGAAAACAAAGAAGAAATAAAGTAAAAAGCGGAGGTTTCCAAAAATAACACTATACTTTTGATGAAATTTTAGGTCGTTTTGTTTTAAAAGCGTCAAAAGCCCAGTAAAAATGAGCTCATAAATAACTCGCCCTTGTGGATTCTCAACTTTCGAGGCCACAGTGTAAAACAAATCCAAGAGAAAATCTTCATTCTGAGGAAGAATAAATTGTAATGAAAAATATTTGATCATTTAGGAGCAAAAACTTACAACAAGATTAATGGCATGGATTGTTGCCAAGTTGAAGCTCTGCAAAAGTTTTTCTCTCGATTTTTCTGGTAGCTCGGGAATTTTTTGTTTTATATCAGGAATTGCGATAAGCGTTCCATCCTCACTCTCCTTTAACCGCAATCTCAAAGGTGGCAAATTAGGTTCTGGCATAAATCTGTAATCCTAAAAATAGGAATAAATTGTTTATTCGACAGGTCAATGATCTCCGACGCCAACCTGCTTCTCCTCTTTGTCTCTCATCGGAACCGTCGTCTTGGTTTTGGCGTCATACGATCTTGTCTCAACCACAATACGTTCATTTTTAAGATTGGCTTTAATTTGTCTTTTGATTTCCCAGTTCACAGCGTTGGCCACGCCTCTCACACTGTTGATGTTTTTTATTTCGGTTCGAGGCCCCAAAGTTGTTGAGCCGACTCTTTGGACAGAGACATTTGCATCCACTCGAAAAGCACCCTCTGCAGAAAATAGTATTTCAATTATAAAGTAAAAATTTAATTAAATGTTGTACCTTCCATTTTGCAGGAACAGGTTTTCAGCCTCTGCAAAATAAGAGCCAACTCTTTGACAAGCGAGGCGGCTTCTTCCCCGTCCGAGAGATCTGGCTCGAAGACCAACTCCATCAGTCCTACTCCAGCTCGGTTTAGGTCAACCAAGCTCCTAAAACAGGTCTAAGTGCAAAATACTTTTGGCAAAATTAAAATTATACTTGCAACCCTCTACATCGTGCAGGCTCTTCCCGCTGTCCTGCTCGAGCTGGAGTTGTTTCAGTTTTGAACTTTTCAGATACGGTTTTCCACTTGGAGGGTTTACGTAAAACCTCAAAACGCCATTGTGAGCAAGGGCATTTCTCTGCTGAGTGATCTGATACCCAGCCTAAAAATATAAGAAAAGTCTTAAGTTATAAAAGGGAAGGTTCGTGAAAAAAATATTATGTACTGGCATGTCAGCGTAGAAGTAGTGCTTTCTGTCAAAAGTCGACGCTGGATTTATTTCGCATTCTAAAGCCAAAGCTGTCATGACTGCAGACTCAACACATCCACGATTTATCACCTTAAAATCAAAATTGAATTAAAATAAAATTACTTTTAATTAAGATTTAATTTACGTACAGGTAAAGTTCCAGGAATTGCTGCATCAAAAAGGGCGACATTATTGTTCACTGGACAAGCAAACTCGGTCCCTGCTCTTGAAAATAATTTGGATTTGGTTGAAATCTGTGCGTGGATTTCCAGTCCGACGACTCCTTTCCATTCCGAAACCTCTTCGCTGTAAAAATTGACAATTTAATAAAGGAAAAACCCTTATTTTGTGCTGATTTTTATTATGTACCTCTTGGCGGCGGTCTTGCTGTGCTGGAAGCGGCAGAAGTTGATCGCCCGACGGACCGAGTAACTCTTGAGTGACCTGTGCATTTTTTATAAAGACGGGAAAACTATTTTGCAGTGGAAAAATCGGCGAATCGCGCCCACATGCTGCAGCACACCGGCTGGTGTTTACGAGACCAGCTGGCGCCGCCGCGACCGGAGCGCCAAACGCGCATTCCATCTAGCCCCTGGGAGCTTTCAACGTTAGTTTAACTGCTCGCCACAGACGTCAAGCTGGTTGTCTACCTCGTCCACGGCAGGCGTACAGACTGCGAACAGCGACCCTTGATGAATACAAATTAAAGGGAGGTCGCGCTGGACCGTGATTTCTTTGAGAGACGACACGAAAAATTGAAAAAAAAATATCATCTTCGCCAAGGAATAAAATAATAATTCATGATTGAATTAAAAAATAAACTTTTATTGTAAAATTGATTGATTTATCTCATTGGTGTGGATTTCGCAGGGTTGGTATTGTGCAGATGCGATAATCGTCGGCTTTTGATTAAGACTGACGGGCCCGGAAATGTAATCGGAGCTGCACGCAATACGTGTGTGTATATGAATAGTTCATAGGCCGCTTTGAAGATGGCATAGAGTAAATTTTATTGATTGCGCCACCGACACACTCACTGAGTGTATATGCACTCATCACCACAATATAAAGCAGCTCCGGCTGGCTGGCGGTGGTGGCTCCTTGTAAAATCGATCGTTTAGGGTAGTTTTTGGTAGAAAAGAGGAGGGCCGTTCTCTCTCCGGCTTGATGAAAGAGCGAAACAGGGGTGGGAGGAAAGTACAAGGGGTTGGGGAGGTGGAGGAGGGAAATCGCGGCGACGGCTGGTCTACATTACCATTACGCTCCGTATTTGTGTCTCGTGTCGCAGTTCGGCCGCTCTCTTCTCCGGCGATGTGAGCAGCCCCCGTCGGCCGCCGAATCGCACGTGGCCAGTTCGTTGAGTTTCAATTCAGCAGAGAGGAGATCGGACCACGCACCTGCCTCATTTCGGTTTCAGTGCACGCACCGAGAGAGCATTGGCACCGTAACCCGCTAATATTCAAGGTATGTAATGTTTTATTTATATACACGTCGAAAAAAGGTACATGATGTGAGAAGGAGTGATAATAAAAAAGAGCAAAAGTTATTGCAGCTGATACGCGGGAGAAATTTTTCACCCCGGCTCGTGCTCTTTTTAATATTCAGCGCAGGAATTTCAGCAAATATTTAGAGGGATCCTGTTGAATAAAACGAATGAAAATAACTCTGGTCACATAGGCATGTTTTGTTTGCGCGTTTTTTTCTGTATCGCGTGCAAGATTTGAGATTGGGTCGTGTTTTAAAAATACTGTTTGCGTTGACAATTTTTTTTCATCAAATAATTCTCGGGATATTTTTGTTATCAAATAATTAATCAATGTATTTAACTAGAATTTTCTAATTAAATGCATTTTCGTTAATCTCACAGCCCAAATTTCTGTAATGGTGTAAATGTTTGGTTTTATGCCTGATCCCCCTTTGCCAAAAGTTCAATCGTCCACCACCCACTTAAATTTTGCAATCTCTGAAGCTTCTTCAATTGTCAGTTCATAGCATCGATACAAACTCAAAATTTTGGGTCTCACTGAATTATAAAAATTTTTATAATTTTTTTTATAATTGAAAATAATTTAAAAGTTTCATATTGAAAGATCTTTCTATTTGTTTTTGCTCGAGTTCTTTTCACGAAATTTAAATTATTAATGATCTTTAATATTAAATCAAAATCCAAAGACGCTTACAAACTGCTTAAAATTATTTTCAAAATAAAAGTATAAATAAAGCTCGAATTTGCTAAAAGTAACATGGCTCCGCGTGCTTGACTAGACCAATTTTCCCTTTTTTTTAGGTGAAAATTACTTAAAGTTTTTATTTCATGAAAATAATAAAACATATTTTGAAAATATAATTAACAGGTTCCAAACTCTATATTTAGTATAACTTCTCCAGTAATTTAAAAATACAATTTTATAACCAGGAAAAAAATGTATAAAACTTTTAATTTTTGGTTTTTAAAATCTCTCTTTCACTTCAAAAGGGATTAATTTTGGTCCCTTGGAACATGTTATAGAAACGAAATTCTACGCCATTTAATACAAAACACAAACGGATCAAAAGAGCAGCATCCGAAATTTCCATCTTTATATTTACCGAAGCGATTATGGCGTTCTCTGTTCTCGCTCTCTCGTCCTTTCTACTTGTGGCCCTCGTCGCGTGGACCAACACAAAGATCGATCGCGGTCCTGTTCAAGGCCGCCGAAATCGAGCAGACGTGCCTGCAAATTGACAGAATGACGCGTGTAGTGCTTTCAGAACCTATTTGCGTTTTGTGGTTTTCGAGCCAACCCCGACCAGAGTTGAAAGGAAAAGGTGCAGGACAGTTGAAGATTGTTTTCGGCGCCGAGCTAGACGTAAAAGCAGGCCGAGCAGAAAAAAACGGGCAAATACGAAGTGAATTTATGGACGCACTTTGTTCCAAAAATGCACGTCAAGCTGGAGCCATTTTCCTTGTCTTTGTTGGTGAGGTGAAAAATGCCGGCAAGGACGAGAGGATGCGGAAGTTTGATGATGCGGCCTTTTATCCTTTCTCTCCGTCAAAGCTTTTTGTTATTTCTTGCTAAATTGGAAGGATTTTTTTAAATCCTCTGCTTGCAAATTAAATTAATTAACGGCTCGAGTTTAGGTGAAACATTTTTCTATCAATTAAAGTGCCTGGGTCGAGTTAGAGTTGTATAAAAAGGAGCAAATTGCTAAAAAGTGCGGCTATAGTTTGGCGAGCGTGTTGTCTACCCTCTTGTGGTCAATTTGGAAAGTCACTAGGGTGCTCTTCAGTCCTTTTTATCACACCACTTTCAGTGTTGTGCTGCTGGGATGAAACTTACTTCCAATTGATTTCTTTCGTTTGCTTCTGGCCAAAGCACCTTCTCAATTTGTCCGTTTAATACACGTTTGTGAGGAATGCAATAATAAAAAAATGCGAACTAATGTTTTTCTAGCATTAAAAACTTCTAGTTACAAATAATTTTGCAATATATCAATATAATGCATTAATAATTTTGAATAAATTTATTCAAAAATGGAATTATCTGTATATAATTAAACATTATAATTAAATTTTGCAAGACTTAAAATAAACTGCGAAAAATATTAAAAAAATTGGTTTATTGATAGAATAATACAAAAATATCGCAAAAGGGGTGTTAATGTTAAACAGCCCCTGACAGTTTTTTTTCTTTCGTATTTTGAAGCAGTATGAAAAAATGTTAAAGAGATTCATTGTCGGAATGAAAATGCTGAAATTATATTTTCACCGGTCTATTATAGGCCGCTCAAGATTTTGAAATAATTATCTGACCATGGATTAATGAACTTTGTAGAGGAATACAAAATTATGTATAATTATTCTGCTCACTAATTGGTTCATTATTCACCTTCGTTAATGTAATATAAATCTTGGGCGCAGTCAACCAAAATCATTTTGATTGGAGACGTGCAAAATTTGATCTCCGGATTGTCAGAGAATGAAAAAAATTGCGATTATTTTTGGCGTCGAGATTGTAAGAAAAATATAACACTTCTGAGAAGCACGTCAATCGTTCACGTGCGAGTGTGTTCAGCCTTTAAAGTACGTGGGTCAATATAGAGGGCGGGTGGCAAGTCCATAAAACAGGCGTATACACCTGCTGGTGACACGCCGATCTCGCCGACCATATATCAAATATCACGCGCGATTTACCAAACGAAGCCCCGTTCAGGGCACCCCATAAACGCAGGAGGTACTCGGGGTGCCGTTGACATAAAAAAAAATAAAGAAGCAGGCTCATTTATACGATCCATCAATGGAATATCAAGTGGCGGGGCTGTTAAACGTGAAAAATGCTAGAGAGAAGAGAGACGCCCTGCTTAATGTAAAGGGATCAAGGTCCGCAGTAAAGCGACCCAGACAGAGCAAGGCCGTGTGGATATTTGCGAGAGCACCCTCTGATTGGCACTAAAGTTCGCCAACTGTGTGCGAGTGTTTTTTCCAAACCCTCTCTCTCATCGTCGCCATTAGGCTGATGACGAGCACCTTTTTGATTTACCCAACACCTCCCGTCCGTCAGCCCGAGTTGCGAATGGGTTTTAGATTGGTTTTTGCGTCAGAATGTCGCAGCCAGTTTGGACCCTGTTTACTAATGCAAAAATGTATCCTTTTGTTGGAACAGCAAATGCTTTTTTTACTTAAGCAATGTGTTTTAATGTTTTTCAATGAATGAATAATTTTTATTATCACACATAATTATCGTTTTTAAAGGTACAATATTAAAAAGTTTTTTCAACCTAATATGTATTAAAATTAATCTATTTATGTTAAATTTTAATTAAATTATTACTTTTTAAAACACGATTAAATATATATATTTTTTTAATTTTATTATTTTAATTAGTGTCAAACAAATTATTTTTCTGATAAAATATTAAACATTATATTTTAAAATTTATATAAAAAGAGTTATAATTGTGTTTGAACACTGTTAGGAAATAAAAATGCAAATTTTATTGAGAACTAATATATGGTGGGTTAAAAAAATTTAATATTTGGAAATTAAGGTGAAACATAAATTGGTTGGTTTGCGATAATTATACGGCACATTGGCTGAACCTAAATGTAACAAGAGCACCTGCGCTTTTGAAACTAGCGTTTAAAAACAATTTTAATTAAAAATATTAATTGGGCTAATTGACGGTGAATTGTAGAGTAATTTTATCTGTTCTCGGTAACAATGAATAGATTAAATTAAATATAATTTTTCACAAACCACGATTTAAAAATTAAGTAATATTAAAGGCAGTTTTTTACCAATTTCAACAAAAAGTAAAAGATTTTAATTTTTATTTGCTTGAAGTTTGGCCCCTCTTGGGCGTTTCCTGCTTTTTCTGCCAGCTTTTCGGCAATATGTCTCCGGAAAAATTTGGCGTCGCTCTCTTGCTTCGTGTGCAATTGGCAGATTTTTTATACAGTGCCGCCGGGAATAGGATGAATAGACGCGGTTATCTGAAAACCATTAGATTAACCAGCGCTCGGTGGCGGGCCCGTTATTGCCCCCCGCCGATCATTCTCTCCGAATGACTG